CGTATTTCCATCGTTGTGAATATTGTCGAAAGCTTTCATTGCACTTCATATTCATGCTTTGCAACATTGTTCGATCAGGGGCCATATCACTCATGTGTTGTTCTGACCCAAAAAAACTTGAGCTAAATCCCTCCAAGAACGTATTTGAGTACGTTTTAGCTGATTATACCATCTGGATGCAGACCCAGATAAACTGTCTTGGAAACAGTGGATCAACAACTTTTTATTCTCTACATAGCCAGCCATACGACGACAATACATAGTGATATGATATGAAGGGCATGTGGTCCCATTATACTTCTCAAAATCTGGAACCTTGAACTTTGGTAGAATAACCAGGCCAGGGACCAAACTTAGTTCTTTGGCATCAAACCCATAAAATGACTCAGCTGTCTCTATAGATTTTATCACCTCTTCTATATTTTTCAGTTGTTGAGTGAATTTTTCCTTCTCAACTGATTTGTTTAGGTCAAGGACCTTATTACTAATACAAAATTCATCAGGCTTCAACTCAGAAGTAGTAGGACAATCAGTGGGGAACGATGCTCCAGCTTGATATGGTGAGTTCTTAACAACGAAGTAAATCGGTGATTGAATTTCCTGGGGTACAGAGGTGAACTCAGGAATATGAACAGGTGTAACACCCAAAGAATTTGTGGGGTTTTCAACAAGACTCTTTCCAGCAGTCAAATGCTTATCAATCATTTCTTTCATATTGTTCAGTAGATCGATCTGAGAATTAGCTTCGATTTGTGCCAACTTGCTCCTCAATTCCTCTTGTATTTCTTTCTGCTTTATCTCAAATTTGGCTAGCCTATCTTCAGTTTCTTTAGACATTTTTCTTGTGTCGTGCTGAGCGTTCTTGCTTCAAGGAAAAACCAAGATCACTTCGTTTGAAATCCTTATTTTAATGAATGAATGTTTTAATGTATTATGACATAAAAAATGCAAAGATGTCAAATGCAAATGTAAATATGTGAATGTAATAATAAGAATACAAATTGTGCAATACAAATGCAAAGATGCCAAATGTAAATATGCAAATGTAAAAATGTAAATGTAAATTATTTAAAATACCAGAATAGGACATCCAGTTATATTAATACTGCCCTTTTCTTTGATATTGAAAATAAATAAACATTATTATTTAATTAAATATATTTTAATGCATGATGTAAATTTAAAAATGTAAATGTAAATACAAACGTAAAAATGTACAAATGCAAAATACAAATGCATGTATGAAAAGGTGTTACTCAAGAGTGATCATCTTAGAACAGATTTCATTGAAAGCAAAAGTTTCGGTACATCAAACAAAACTTTACATATAGGGATATATTTCATTCCTAACTTCTCCAAAGCCAAATTAGTCTATCAACTTAAGGGACATATTGCTTGTCTGGACTGCAACCTCTTCCATGACATTCTCTTTCATTTTCTGTGTCACTTCTCGGAGTTGCTCATTTTCTCTTGTAAGAGATCTTTTCTGTCCAAGAAGTTCTTGAACAAGATCTTCATATATGTTGCAGTTCTTTTTCAGCTTGGTGACCCCTGTTATCCATTTTTCTGGGTACTTCCTAGGCCAGTATTTTGAAAGGTTTGACTGATCTTCTGAAAATATTCATGCATGGTTTTCATTTCTGTGCTCAATTTCTCGTTTTGGTCGTTCAAGTCCTTCAAATAACATGCTTGAGCTTCATAAAAATCTCCACTACTCTGAATGTCCCGACTGATACTCTTACCATAGACTGCTTTTGGTATCAATCTGGCAGAATCTTTATGGATTACTTTTGGTATTAATATAACCGGTTCTCTGTGTGCAGAACTTCCCTCGATCCTCGTAGTTTCTTCAGGATGTCTTTCCTTGGTCGTATCATATTTTGTTTGATCATAAAACTTTTTGTCCATTTACGATTTCTTTCCAATATGGTGAACAGTCTTTCAAGCCAATACCTTTTGGTTAAGCCATGATCATGTAATGCAAACAAAAGAAATCAATATGAACATATTAGAGCAATGTAATATGCATGAAAAAAAAATAGAATAGTTAGTACCAACTAAAAAAATCTATTTATCAATGTATAAATCTTAACCTCATGTTTTCTAGTTCCATGATTTGTTTGGAAAATTTAACTTAACCGCACGATTTCTAGTTCGCATGCATTTATTCAGGAAAAGGAAATAAAATAAATTAAAAGCTAGAGCTTATTTCTCCTTTGTGTATACCTACTAACAAAATTTCGGCATGGTTTCAGATCGGGAGAGTTTCTAGGGTTTATTATATGCAGGTTTTCAGTTCTAGGAGTAAAGGTACTCGAACTGTCCTTGTTAATGCCCCCTTGGGCTATCAAACCCTCAATCCTAGTCCATTACAGACTTAAACGGACCGAGTTCAATTCGAGGGGATACATTTCTCTATGACTAACACGGAGAATAAATTCTCACGAAGACATAGAGCATATGAACCCCGAAAGTTACTTGCTAGGTCTGACACGGAGAATAAATTCTCACGAAGACGTCGCTTTCACTCCCACTTAAAAGGGATAAATCTCAATTATAGAGATTATGTTTATGCAATGCAAGTGTTGTGTGAGGAGAAATGTTCAAACCTTTGACAGAAAAATAAATAATGAAATAAAATACTTGCAAGTAAAATGAAATATAAATATAAATACTATAAAAATAATAAGTATATAAAAAATTTGAAAAGAAAGAATTATAAATTAAATATATGAATTTTTAATTTCTAATTAATAGAGACAATTTATAATTGATTTTAAAAGCTTAACGAATCCCCAGCGGAGTCGCCAAGCTGTCGTAACCGGTTTTCGTCCGGGCACGAAATATTTATTTGGCGGAAAAATTGATGTGAATAAATGGTTTTTGAAAATAATTTTGGAGTCGCCATCGGCTTTTTGGGTCAGGTAAGTCGAATACCTAAAAATTATTTTTTAAAAGAGTTTTAAGAAAACATCAATTAAAAAATGAACTGATCTGCGTTTATAACCAAAAATTTGTTCTTTTTAATAATAAAAAGGGATTCGTGGTCGGTTACGTTTAGGGAAGGATTAGCACCCCTACAACGCCCAAAATTGGTACTTTTTAATTATAAATTGTCTCTATTTAAAAATTCAAAATATATTTAATTTATAATCCTATTATTTCAAAATTATATAAAAAATATTTAAAAATATCGGAAAAGGACTTCTAGTTGCCTTAAGACAGCTCTTTTCTTTGATATTAATAAATATTAATTTGAATAAAATTAAATAATAATTTTTTATAATATTTAATTTTAAAATACCAGAATAGGACATCCAGTTGTATTAAGACTGCCCTTTTCTTCGATATTGAAAAAAAAATATTAAAATAATTTATTGAAAAAACAAATTATTTATTATATATATTTATGATACACAATAATAATATTTAAATATATAAAAAATAAAATTAAAACAATAAAAATATAATTAGAACTATATGAAAATATTTAAAATTGGTGACTAGATTATAGTAAAATTAAAATTAAATATCTAATTCATAATTAATCAAAATTATAGGGATTAAACATGCTATTTTCTTATTTATTAATTTAGTGACTAAAATAAAACTTATCTAAAATTCGAATATCAGATTAAAATAAATTAAAAATATAAACTCGGGATTAAAATATTAATTATTAAAATTAAGGGATTAAATCTGTTATTTACCCTAAAGATATTATTTTAATATAAAGGACTAAAATAAAATAAAATTAAAATTAAAGAACCGAATTAAAAGGATTATAAATTGATTTAGTGACTAAAATGTAAAGTTTACAAATTTGAGGGATGGCGGACGGGATTTAACAATTAAAAAATTACACAAATAGCCCTCCCCGAAACGACGTCGTTCGGGAAGGGCTATTTAAAGCCAAACCCGGCTGGCCCGAAGGGCCAGCTTCATTTCTCGTTTTTTTCCTCTCTCTCTCTTCTCTGAGAGAGAGAATTTTCTCTCGCTTCTCTCTAAAACAGAGAGAAGCTAGCCGGCCGGCAGCTGTCCGCCGGCGTTCTTCCACCGCCGGCCACCGCCTTCGGTGGCCAAATTTTTTTTTTATACTAAAATATAGATCGGACCGTCCTAATAACGGTTCCGATTGTTTTTTCTTCTAAACGGCTCCCGATCGGAGCAAATCTAAGAAAAATACCTTCGGTTTTCGAAGGTTTTGGTTACGTTTGAAGAGGTCCGGTGGTCGTAGCTTCCTCGGTAAGCTTTTCTCCTCCCTTTTCTTTTGTTTTTGGTTGCTGGTTATTGTGAGTTGGTCTCTTTTTTGGTATATTTGCTTTCGGTTTTTGTCTCTCTGGCCTTGTTGTTCTCTTTTTTTTCTTTGCAGATGGGGTGATGGCTTCATAGCCATCACCGGTGTGGCCATCGGACCGGGTAAATGAGTGGAGTCTGGTGAGTCACCGAGCTATGTGGTGACTCACCCCTAGAGCTTGCGACGTGGGCGGCGGGTGTTGAAGCAGCAAAGCTTCTGGATTCTTCAGCGAGGCGGCGGCGTCGTGGCGTGGCACTGACAGCTGGGACGTGTCCCTAGGGTTATGATACCCTAGGGTTTCCTTGTTGGGTATCTCTGGACCGTTGGATCTTGCCAGATCCAACGGTAGCAAGCTGAGGCGGCTGGGAGAAGAGGGAAACCCTAATCTGGTTTAGGGTTTCCATTGGGCTAGCTTAGTTGGGCCAGAATTGGGCTCCGGGATCCATTTGTAATTGGGCTTGTAATTTATTATTTAATAATAATAATTATTATTATAATAATAATTATAATAATAATAATAATAATAAATAAAAATGAGTAAAAAAAATTAGTATCTTCAACATCAATTTTTATTTTTTCTCAAACAATAAAGTAATCAATTCTTTTTCAGCATAATTGAACTTTTGATAAAGAATCTTCTAAGTTTAGCCAAGATTTATATTTTGCTTCAAATTTTATATTAATGTATTTTGTATTTTCAGGTATGAGTCATTGGCGTGGTGACAAAGAAGCAGAAATTTTGCGTCTTGGATATGTATGTTTCTTAGGCCTAAACAATTCATGTATTCTTGTCGTATATGATATTAATCGTGTTTGGGGTATTTTTTATTTATATAACTTTTGACATGCTAATAATCTGTGTTATGAAAATTTTGATATTTTCGTATATTTGTGTTGTGTTCATGTTTTTTTTTGTTTTTGGTCATACAACTCAAGCATAACTAGGAGTATAATTAAGGCAGGTCAAATTGAAGCTATGAAAAGATCAGGCCTGAGCATCTTTTGAAATTTGAGGCTCTAAACTCGGCTTCAGATTGGTTGATTACTGAACTCAAATAAAAATCGAACCGATTGAGGTTGCTCAGTTAAATATGTTTACTTAGTGAATAAAGAGATTGGTTTATTATATGGTTTTATGTTGTTTGTCTGAAATTGATATGGAAGATGATTCTTCTTAGACCGTTTCGTTTTTTTTACTATGGAAAACAAGAAGTTTGACTTCTTCTGATTATGTAGGTCAAACCTGAAATAATAAGCTGGTCTCCTCGAATTATTGTACTTCATAATTTCCTTAGCTACGAGGTACATGTTTTTATTTATTTATTTATAATTTTTTGAAGTTTTTTGTGTTCGATATTCATGCCTGACATATGAGTATGGAAATATAATTTTTAAGGATCCTTCATTACATTGAAAACTTAAAGAAATTTGATCATGTTCATGTCAGACATATACTTGTCTTTGACGCTCAGATCTCTGAGTCCGAGTTATCAATGATCGAGAAATAATGGTGATTTACTTGAAATCATCAATTGTAAATTCTTATTCACTCAATAACTAGGTGATATGAGACAACTATGTGATTAGGGCTTTTGGAAGCTTTTAGATTCAAGTTTGTAATAAGTTGGGTGGAATTAAATAATGAAGAAAATATATTTGTAAGCTGCTCACTAAGGGAAGGGATCGAAATAGCACGGAGCGAGGTTTTTTGCTCATCTTTATGTCAATTTCACTTTTATGTCTCCTATAGGAATTTAATTTTATTTAGTAAAAGAAAAAACTCTTCAACTCCTCCCTTGTCCCTGAAACTTACATGATACTTTATATTATATTAATTTTTACAAAAAAAAAATCCTAATTAAAATATAAAAAGTAATCAAATAAATATTTTAAAATCTAATAAAATTTTAAAAAATCCTAACCAAAATATATAAAATAATTATAAAATCCAATAAAAATTTTAAAAATCTTAACCAAAATATTCCAAGACAGGGCAGATTTGATCTAAAATTGAGCTCAAGATTTAAAAGTTTTAATTGATAATCTGCCTGTCTCAAACTCCTTTTTTTTAATAACATAAAATAACAGTCTTTATAGGGTTGAGTTGGATCAGATTGAAACCCAATAGGTTTGAATTATTTTGCTAACTCCGCACAAATAGAGTTTAAATTATACTGTTATGATAACTGCAGGAATGTGACTACCTTAGAGCCGTTGCCCTCCCCCGGCTTCAAGTTTCTACTGTGGTGGATGCAAAAACAGGGCAGGTATATCTGACTTCTTTTTCTTTCCTTGAATTTGCAGTGTCCCATTATATTACTTGAACTCGAATTTGAGTGTTGAATAACAAGCATATGTTTGATGTGGGTATTTTTCTTCTTCTAAGTTTTCGATATTTGAGGATCATATCCTCTTATGCAAAAACTGTTGGATATGAGTGCTGGATGAAGATACCTACAAAAAAATAAAAAAAATAAAGAGTCCCATATAAGTTTGGAATACATGTATGTGCCTATTTTTTGTGTAAAGTATTCAATTTTTGAAGTTCACTTGGAATTCAGTGATTAGAGATTTTCTATTGAGAGCATATCAACCAAGGCAAGAATTGATTTTAGTACTCAATAGTGATATGAGAAAATACACGAACAAGAAACATATACGTAAATTGTTAGATCTGCTCTTAGTTTTGATGACTTAACTTTCAAGGCAAGAATTGATCGTACTTCAAAGCCCTTGTTTTTCAGGGAGTTACGAGTAAGGTAAGGACAAGCTCTGGTATGTTCTTGAAGCCAAGTGAGAAAACATATCCAATGGTACAGGTTAGATTTCTAATTATTCTTCTCCAACATAAATTTGCATCCTTGATGTTTCTGAATATACTTGCTTGGATTTGGAGATGATTGTCGGATACGGATATGTAATCGATGGGGGCAGCTTCAATCTTTTATATATTTTCTAATGCATTTGGAGATCACACTCACGTACCCATTACATATGTGTTAGACATGAGTACTTCAAGAAAAATAAAAAGTAATGTGGAAGTCATAGCTAAGGAAAAATAGTAGAAGCATTGGGCCAAATTGGCCTATAAATGATAGGATAATGTATATATCATATTATCATCTCTGTTACTGGACTCGGATGGGGTGTTGTATATCAATATGTATCCGACATGGACTCTGATACCTATTATCGGAATACCTTGGACATGGTTGTTAGATACAACTACTCTTCTCTGTAAATTTGTATCATTGATGTTTTAGATTTTGTTGATACATTTTATGTTTACTCGGATTTGGATGATTTGCAGATATGAGTATGTATATACTCATTTTTAGAAATATTTCTCAAACATTTGGAAGATCACACTGCATCCTAATACCCATGTCTGAATGTGTTGGACATAGATTCTAAAATTAGTACTTCTAGAAAAATGAAGAGTCAAAGTACTATAATTTCGATTTGCATGATAAGTTTCCTTTCCTAACATTTAAAAGTGATGTTTATAGTTATCTTTTCCAATTGCTTAATAAAGTGTGATCAAGTATTTTCCTCCTTTTTCTTGTTTCTATTAAACTCGAGGCAATTGAAAAGCGAATTTCAGTCTTCTCTCAAATACCAGCTGAAAATGGGGAGCATATCCAAGTTTTAAGGTGGGTTGTCTAACTTAATTTTCTTGCAAAAATATTGCTGAAAAAGCAAGAACGCTGAATAACAATCCAATGCAGCACATGTATGAAAAGGATCAGTTTTACAAGCCCCATTGTGATTACTTTTCTGATCCTGTAAGTTATATGATTTTTTTCAAAATTGACATAGGTAGGGGTATAACGAGACATTTGTTCTTGTGAGTTTCTTTTGTTCAGCTTGAAAAATGCTTGAATTTGGTTCGATCACTGTGGGGTTCAGTTCAAATATACTAATGCTTAACTTGCTGCTTGTGCGTCTAATCGAGCCTTTTTATTTTTATTCCTTAGTGGAAATTACTTGAGTTCAAGCACAAATAATCAAACTTGGACTTGATTATGAGAATTGAGCTCATTTTAATAAGTTAAATGAGTTTAATCGAGTTAACTCAAGCATTTCAGCATTTATCTCAAATTGAGCTCAAGTCCAACACCGAGCCTCTAATTTCAAGTCAAACTTGAATTCAAATTTCTTATAGCTTGAGCTTGACTTGGCTTGATGACATTTGTAGACGTAGTCTATTTATTGGTCGGGATTGGATTTATATATATTCTTATGATATGGAGGAGTCTTGATCCATTTCTTTGCCACTAATGTAGTTTAATGTGAAGCGTGGTCAACGAATAGCAACTATGCTCATGTATCTTAGTGATAATGTTGAAGGAGGAGAAACATATTTCCCTCAGGTAATTCCTTCTTTCCTAAAATAACATGGCCATGAATTTGATGTGAACTTCTGTTAATCGCTTGCACAAATTTGGGTGTAAAAAATGGATGTTCTTTTCTTTCAAGTTCCTTTTTCTTTGAGGGATCATGAAGGTTTATATCCCCATACTCATATCCAATATCCATTTAACATACTTGTTTTAAACACGGATACTTAAAAGATGAAGAGTTGGACTATGCTACTTTCTTGAAGTTTCAACATTTATATATAACCTCTCTACTTTGCGTTGCATAACAAGGCTGGTTTTTGATATATTTTATTTCCAGTCGGTCAATATTCGGGTACGATCTTCTCATGAATCCTCTAGTTTAAATTCATTGAATGTTTTTGCCTTGTTAATCTTTCTTTGACAAACATCAGGCATTATCTATGTGACTCAGATTCGAGTGTCAAATACATATGTATGTTCGACATGGGTATAGTTAGATTTTTCTATGGTTTTTCTTGTATCCATATCCCATATCCATGTCACGTGAGAATCAAACACATTTTTTTCTAAATGTAATGATTCCAAGCAACATAGGATGTTATACCTTCCATTGGGTTGGCTTTTTAACTGTGTTATCTAATCTCAGGCTGGTACGGGAGTTTGTAGCTGTGGAGGGAAGATTGTTAAAGGGTTGTCGATAAAACCGATCAAAGGAGATGCAATACTTTTCTGGAGCATGGTTTGTTTCCTTCTTTTCGATATATTTAAATTGCCTGCTTACATGGCTGCCTGTACTGCTGGACCTACCTGTTTTTGGTTCAACCGGTTGAACCAACTGATCCTGTCCATTTTCTAATCACTGCTTGAGGTTCTTAATGACTATCAGTAATTCACATTTCAGCTCTTGAAGTTTTTTTGTCTCAGCTTAACTAGTTATGTGGTTTCAATTTTTGATATCTTGAGAGTTATATACGTTAGATAATCGAACCGTAATATGAAAGACATTCTAACCGATTTTAGTTTTCATATAACGAAACATAGCCCTTATAAGATTGGACTGAGAAAATTAGACAATATATTTGGTTCTGGTGATCTGGTAAATGTTTCTGGACATTGCAGAAGTGCATTCTCTATTTGTTCGCCTTGTGCCATCATATCTCATACTAAAAAGGGTATTTTATAGGACACCTTAGCTTTGGTTATCTCTGTTGTTTACGTGGCTTGCTTCTGTTAGGGACTTGACGGACAGTCCGATCCAGACAGCCTACACGGAGGATGCGCGGTTTTGTCCGGTGAGAAATGGTCGGCAACGAAATGGATGAGACAGAAACCTATATCCTAATTCTAAATCACTATCAATCCTTCTTTCACTATGCATAGAAATTGTTCATTGGAATTGAACATGAGTAACGGATACTGGTATGTTTTTACGGTAGTATAATCATTTATTGTTTCTAAGTTGTATGTATTTAGAGGATCATACCTCATACTTGTATCCTTAAGAATTCGGATACTGATGTCGAACACGAATACTTAAAAACAAAATGAAGAGTTAGTGGAGCAACTTAGCTAGAAAGTTGCATGATTGAGTTTGGCGTTTTGAAAAATAGGGGACGTGACAATTAATAATAAATTCACTCCTAAAATTTTATATTTTATTTTAAAAATATTAATCATAAACATTTTAATATTCTTATAATTTAATCTCTACTAACTCATTTTCAATCATTGTGATCTTCCATTCTTTATTTTTTTTTACCAAATTCTTAGTCTAAAATTCAACCACAATTACTTGGAATGCAATTCAGAAGCAATATTTACTAGTGAACTCAGCGACACAGCATTCAAAACTAGCATAACTCGTCAACATACCATAGGGGCTTAGATCTTGAGAATCATTTACTAGTAAAAATGCTATTGTAAGCAAATCATTATTTGTACTGTCATCTATTTTTCAAATCCACTCACCTCATCAACAATGAATTTCTTTTGCAAGTCCAATAAAAAGCTCAACTAGAAGAATCATGTAATTATAACTAGGCGTATCACTAAATTGTGATTTTTTTGTTTTACATTTTTAAAAGAAATTATAAACCTTACTGGAACCAAGGAACCAAGTAACCAGTAGGTGTTGTGGTGTAGTTGGTTATCACGTCAGTCTAACACACTGAAGGTCTCCGGTTCGAGTCCGGGCGACGCCAGTTATTTTTTATTGGTTTAGCATTATTTATTTGAGAAAATAACTTCAGTGACCAAAAATTTCAGATAATATACGATTTTGACAAACTGTTTTTGGATTTGCGAAAATGACCAACAAAATCGCAATGCGATCTCTAATTCGCATTGCGATCTCCACTATCGCAAATTTGCGTTGCGATAGTTGAAAATCGCGTTGCGATTTTCCATTTTGCGTTGCGATAGTTGAAAATCGCGTTGCGATTTTCCATTTCGCGTTGCGATAGTTGAAAATCGCGTTGCGATTTTCCATTTCGCGTTGCGATAGTTGAAAATCGCGTTGCGATTTTCCATTTCGTGTTGCAATTTTCCATTTCGCGTTGCGATAGTTGAAAATCACGTTGCGATTTTCCATTTCACGTTGCGATAGTCTACAATGTCGTTGCGATTTTCCAAATTCGTTGCGATAGTCTACAGTTGTTGTTGCGAAAGTCTACAGTTGTCGTTGCGATTTTCCAAATTCGTTGCGATAGTTAAAAAAAAAGATTTTGTTTCTTAAGAATTTTCTCTAAAAAGATAGTATCCGCGCGGACGTGTCGAAGACACGTGTTACAACGACCACGACCCGACCCGACCCGAGACGGACGGCGGCGGCGGCGCGCGAGAGTCTCCCTTGTTCTCTATCACTCAACAAGGAAGTGGGAAAGCCAAGCCTTAAATACCATTCCCAATAGTGTTTCCAATACTATATGAGATTTGAGCATTACCAACACTTGTTCCCAATACTATGTGGGATTGAGCCTTAAATAGTGATATTATTTTTGAATGTTTTGCTTAAAATTGCAATAATCGCGATTGATTGTAGATTGACTTTTAATTATGACATATTTAATCGTATAATACTAATATAATTGGTTGCTGATTTAGTTGTTTTAAGGTGCATGATTGTTAATTGTTTCCTGAATAATCACATTGTATTGGAAACAAGTGTTGGTAATGCTCAATCCCACATAGTATTAGAAACACTATTGAGAATGGTATTTAAGACTTGGCTTTCTCACTTCCTTGTTGAGTGATAGAGAACAAGGGGGACTCTCGCGCGCCGCCGCCGCCATCTCGTCTCGGGTCGGGGTCGTGGTCGGGGTCGTGGTCGTGGTCGTGGTTAACTATATAAATTGAATTTAATATGCTTTTGAGTTAATTACAATTCTTACATTTATTCCTTATATGTAACTATAAAATTTATTCTTAGAAATAATAAAAAATTATTTTGACCAATTTAATATAAATACAAAATTAGTTTATTGATGAACATATTAACAATATCTTTTAAATACTTTATTAGAAATAAATATAAGAAAGTGTATATGCAATTCACCTTCAAATATTTTATTTAAAATTCTTTTTTATCTAATTAAATAAATAAAATCTCCGCACAAGTGTTTAATGCATGAATAGACATTTCTATAGTGCTTCTTACGTATTCTCTTTTTACGGTGATTTTAATGTTTCTATAAAATTTGATTCAAAAAGTGCTTGAATTATATAGTCGTTTGAGATTCTAAGATCATATATCAATTAATATGTTAATGTCCAGTTCAGATGACCATTAATTTTTTAATAGAAAATGACAAGTTTGAAATATATGAATAGTCGGGTGATCATTTTGTAACTTTTAATAATCAAAGGGCTCAACAAAGCAACAACTTATAGTATGATACTATTTTATAATTTCTAATAGTCGAGGGACTATTTGAGTACTTTACCCTAAATTCTATCGGTTTAGCCCATATTTATTGTAGTAATTCAATGGGTATTAAGCATCAGATGAATCTAACCTGCAATGTCGACAACACAATGTCAGTTACAGGCTTACAGCAGAAGCAACAACAAAGTGAACGCCATTAATCTTGACATAAGTAATCCTTTGTGCCCATATTTTATTAGATGATGGAAATAGAAGCTAGGTTTTCCTTTTATCTCCACCAACCTCTCTTGTATATGTATAAGTTAGGGTCTTATAATTTACAGAAATATGCAACAAAAAACTTGGGTGAAAAGCCGTGCAAAGATATCATTCACCGTCTCATCCAACTCATTCTGTCGTTGTTCTTGTTTGAATATCGCGACCATCAACGATGGTCGGAAAGCTGTCGAGGTTGAACCTTGCCTTTGCTTCCTACTGTAGCGAAAGGCTTGACATCTTCATAGCTGAGGCTCAAGTCTAGGCCAGGGTAATGCTCGCATTTTGGTCACTGTTGATAGCAGATTTCTGCACCAAAACGACAGTTTCATTGTCGTAGACCCTAGGTTGTATTTGATATTAGAAATCTCCCTTTGAATAGATTGTTGGCGGAGCTTAGAAGAGCTATGGATTGACTGTCAACTTTGAGGAGGCGAACAAGGTGTTGGGTTGTCGTTGCTACTCTTATTATCATCTGCAGAAATAAAAGCTTCAAGGCCTCGCCGTCCATTACAAGGAATACAATTAAGGATAACTACTTAATTGGAAGTTCTTGTACCTCTTGAGGTACTCCTCCGGTAACCACAATTTCAGATCAACTCTTCTGTCCATTGAAATCTCTCGAGAAACTCTTCCGCAAATTTAAGCCTCCAGAAGTGAAATGAAATATCAAATGAACAACTCGGAGAAATGAAATATCAAATCCTTTGCTGGTATTTGTAGTTAACCATATATATTATTCTCCCTAGAAATTTTACGTTCGAGCAGCTATATTTGCAGGTTGTTTGTCCGTTACCAATTAATTAATTAATTTCTGAAGAGATACTAACATGTAATCCACCTACACTATTAAAAAATAATTGTATTTAAATAATTGCTTTTAAAATTTTATCCAACCCAATTGTAATTATTTTTTAACCATCTAATTATATTATTTTATTTTTTTAACATTATATAAAATTTAGGTGAATTTGGATTTGTCATGAGTAAAGAAGTATTTTTCTTAAAGAAAACTGGACCATTTATCGAACCCGGGTGGACCGGATGATAGGCTTAGTTAGAAAGAAGGACCACATGAATGGAATCACTCTTTGCTACCTTCCACACATCTTTCTTATTTTACAAGTATAAAATATGTTAAAAGTGAAATATAAAAATATCATAATTTTTCTTATTTTATAATAGATTATTGATTGATATACCATCAGTCAAAAATACAATTTCACAAGAAAGGTTAAGATTTCGATTAATATATCTAGGTTTTTTTTATTAACCTAAGGTGATATTTGTTTTAAATTCTCTCAACCATTTGATAATGAATGTTCAATCACCCTTGCAGTCGCTGGTTCTCGAACCAATGAACTCTAGAAATAACAATAATTATTTTAATCACTAGGTTTTAAAAAAAAACAAAAGTAACATATATCATCATCTTAAGACTATTTGTTAAACTAGTTATCCACTAGCGGCGTGTCAAATAATAGTTGAATTTATTTATTTTATATCAATGACTTGAAAATTTCGTGTCAAATAACGATTTTTTAACCGTTGTTACGATATAGACACTTAAAAGTATAACGAAAAAATATTAAGTACATATTTTTAACAAAAAAAAATATATGTATAGTTTAAGCACTCATTTTTAAATTAAACATAATAAAAAAATATGAAATACCTATATTTCAGACTCTCATCACATATGTAATATTATCTCAATTGTCGTCATTAACAAAATATAAGTTATCACATAACCTTTTACTTAATAAATTAAAATATAATTCCAACATAAGTTTAAATCTTTTTAAAAATAAAGCCTTCACATAATATTCAAGTATAAACAATATCTCAAATACATCAATGCAACACACACATAAAAAAGTTTTAAAAAACAATCAATACATGCAAAAAAGTGTTACTTTTTTCTTAGAACACTTTATTGAGTGTAATCGGTTTTAGTTTAATATTAATACAATTATTAATAATGCATTAAAAAATTAGATGTGCTCTTGAACCAGACCCGTGACCAATTGTTTTTTCTTATCTTACCAAACTTGGCCGTAAGAGAGTTTTATTGTTCAAAAGTATTCTTTTACATTAATATTTTATATTTTATGTGATTATATTAAAAAAAATTATTAAGTGATAATTAAAATTAATCAACACATCTAATTAAAAAGGTATAATTATAAGTTCTATTTTTTATTTTATAAAATTTGAATAATTATGTTTTATACTTATAAAAAATAAAAATAAAAACCCTAATTCAATTAGATAATACCATTAAGTTTTATCATTAAATCATATATTTAAATAATAATAATTAAACAAAAAAATATATAGAAATTAATAGTTTATATAATAAATAAATTAATAATTATATTCCACACATTTATTAACGATTAAATCAAATTAAATATTTAGGAAGGCAGGGACAGCATGCTTGCATTTCGATTTTGCGTGCAAAAGCCATCAATTAAATGACGGTTTTGGCCGAGATAATAACATTTTTTCAATTAAATTAGGAGTGATTATAAAGTTATATTTATTTTAAATATTTTTAATTGTTTAATAATAAATATTTAATTAATTTTACAATTGTGAGGGTTCAAATTCAAAATTTTTAAAAGTAATTATAAAATTTTTAATCATTAAAATAAATTGATTCTTACTTAACTGACAATAAATTAATCCAAAAAAATCTTATTATCTCTATACATAATTGTAAAGCCGAATTAAAAAAATCTTCAGTCTTTCTATATATATATATATATATATATATATTATAAGATAATATTATATACATGCAGGATTAAATCCAAAGGCCTGAGTTTCCAGAACCATACTAAATTTCATGTATGTATATCAATTTTCCGTTTCCTTTTCTTGATTCAATTTCTTCTTTCAGTGAATTCAATGTTTTTTTTCTTGTCCTAATTTTTCATCTTTTTGCTTAATTTTATGATATAAAAAATAGGGGTAGAAAAATAGTGAATCTTTTCTTGTTGAGGTTTAAGGATTTTTTGGGTTTCTTTTGTTTTATGCCGAACTTTTATGCTAGATATGATTTTATCATGTTTTAGGGTTTTTTATAGACGATTTGTTTGTAAATAAGCTTCCTTTATGAATTCTAGGGCTACCCTTTTGCTCCAATTTCCGTTTCCTTTTAGAATTTCAACTTTTTTCTTTAACCTGTTTTGAGAAAATGAAAATTTGATTAGTCTTTTGCTAGCTTGCTTGAAAATAAGTTTTTTTCCCCTATTAATTTTAGTATCCCCTTTTTTTTTCCACGAATCTTTTATCTTTAGGTTTACCTAAGCATTTTCTAGTATAATTTTTGTTAATTTTATTTGTAAAATGAAAAAAAGAGAAAATAGTAGTGACGACTGAATAATTTTGCAGCATATATCATGTCCTACCAGCAAGGGGAGGATTTCTATTACATGGATGAAGATTTTGTAGATGACATGGACGAAGACGACTATGTTCGAGCTGGTGGAGACGTGGATTCTGATGAATATGATGTGGTGTGTTTTGCATTTTGATGATATTTATATATTCTATATGTATTTGTTGTAAGTTATTGTTAATTTTATTATTTAATGATGGAGTTCATCACTTTCATGTTATAATTTTAGCAGCTGACCAAGGTGACCGATACATCTTCCTCGCAAGCGCGGAAGGGGAAAGATATTCAGGGGATTCCATGGGAAAGACTGAACATAACTAGAGAAAAATATAGGTTGACAAGGCTTGACCAGTATAAGAACTATGAGAATATACCAGCGTCTGGTGAAGCTGTCGACAAGGTCCATTTCTTTTCCTTCAATCCGTAAATGAACTAGATTGTAGTAAAGTGAATAGCATATTAAGCTTCGTGTGATTTGTATTTTGTTGTTTCAGGAATGCAAACAGGTAGAAAAGGGGGGGAACTACTATGAATTCTTCCATAATACTAGATTGGTTAAACCTACTATCCTCCATTTTCAGGTTTGTTAGTCAGAAATTGTTTATTTATTTTGTTATTGTCACTTATATCCTGCTTGTTGGAGATATTATTTTGCTGTCAGTATATATTGTTTTTGAATTTCCTTTTTGCTTTTAGAAAAATGATTTAGCTTTAATCATTCAAAAGATTTCCTTTGTCATCTCTTTTATTGGTTCAATTGAGTGCGCGAGCAATTTTAAAGGAACTTGATTTTCTTCTTTGGTATTGAACGTGTTATTTAGCAGTGTCATTTCTCATGTATTTTTTTTATAGGAATAGTAGGCCTCATTAAAAAACCCCTTCATGATTAACGGAACTTAAAAATAGTTCCTTAATCAGCGGAAGGAGGAAAAGAGTGCCCTAGGATTTCATTAACCTCAAATAATTACAAAGTAATACAAAGTCTAATCTCCCTCAAGAGATAGAAAACCAAAAAGAAACAGCCCTTAACAGAACATAATTATCAACCAATACCAGCCTTAACTAGGACGTCCGCCTCTATATTGGCTGTCCTACTAACCCATCTAATAAGACCTTCATAAACACTAAGCTTTTGAATAATGTCTTTAACAATTTGAACATAAACGACAGGACATGAGCCAACATCCTTGACCCAACCAATTGCCACCTTACTATCACTCTCGATAATCAATCTATCTTTAAACCTATGGCGAATAGATTCATAAAAATCTAAACCCTTTAGGATAGCTTTCAATTCCATCAAAATAGGAGGTCTCGGATCAGCAGGCTCTTTGAAGGAGCCAAGAATTGAACCAGTAATGTCTTTCAGAACACCACCTAAACCACTCCTCTTCCAACCACTAGAAGTAGCCGCATCCACATTAAGTTTAATAAAACCCTTTGGAGGAGGGGACCAAGGAAACTTAGTTGAAATCCGATTAGAATGAGACGAGCAAGAATCCACTAAGGAAGGGTCAGCAATAAGAGCATCCTTGGAAATAGAAATCTGAGTTTCCCTAGCTAGAAACCATGAAGCAAGCCTGCACCTTTCTAGAAAGAACATTTCTGCTCGATCAAGCTTCCCTCCTTCGAACACTATAAAATTCCTAGTTTTCCATATTGTCCATAAAACCACTCCAGGGATAAATGACCACATAAGAGAGTTGGTCTTCAAGTCAGTCCATGCTACTAGGAATCTTTTAGCATCTTCATGAAAAACAGACTGAAAATCCCAATAGCCCATGAATTTAGTCCATATTGGACAAACAACCGAACATGAAAAAAATAGATGAGATGAAGACTCTTCTTCTAGATTACAAAAAGGACACAAAGTATCATTTATGCCCTGAACACCTCTCTTAACCAGAGCTGTCTTCACTGCCAGCTTCTTTAAGATAACTTGCCAAAGAAAAGTCTCCACTCTTGGAGGCAGCAGGCCCCTCCAAACAATAGACTTCCAAAATTTAGCTTCCTCCGAATCGGAAGTACCCGAATACTGTGTATCTGCATTTGCTCGGATGTGGCTGTTCATTTCTTTAACTTCTACTTCCCTTTTTTTTTGCTTGGTACCTTTTACTTTTATCATTCTACATAGTAATATTAAGATTAAGAATGCTTAAAGTAGGTCCTTCATTTGGGTTGAAAGTTATATATCTCCAGTATTCTCGACTTAAATAACCTGTCGTGGAATGAATTTTACAGCTCAGAAACTTGATTTGGGCTACTTCAAAGCATGATGTTTACCTTATGTCCAATTATTCGGTTATGCATTGGTCATCATTGTCGTGCAATCTGTCTGAGATCATTAATTTTGCTGGGCATGTGGCACCTACCGAGGTATTACAATTATAATTATTAGTCTTAGTACTTCTTATCTTTTACTTACGAGTATAAATGATTTAATGAAAGTTGGTTATTGAAGTAATTTGGGTCCATTTTATCTGCTAACTTCTATTGACTTGCCTTGTAACTAGAAACATCCCGAAAGCTTATTAGAAGGTTTTACACAAACTCAAATAAGCACTCTAGCAGTCAGAGACAATTTTATGGTTGCGGGAGGCTTCCAAGGGGAGCTTACTTTTAAGGTAAGTTAATATTTGCAGCCTTTTCTTATTTCTGCTGGTATTAGTTTCTCCGAGAAACTGTATATTGTTCTTGGTTAGTCTTAATCATCTTGTTAACTTGCCCAAGAAATGACAAACATTTGAACTGTTGTTTTATTAAATGGGGAGTGTGTGGTTCTTTCGCTCTCTCTTTTTATTTTTTGAGGGGGTGGGATAGTTGTGGTTGTTATGGTCCGAATCAAATAGTATTGGGGCAAGATGTGTGTAGCAAATGATATATTTTTCAATAACTTTTCATTTATGTTACTTGGACTCATGTGTGCGTCTCAAATACGGGTATGTCGATGACATGGGTATGGTTAGATTTTTTTAAGTCTTCGATATAGTTGGAGGATCCTCGGAGGTCATATCTCCATACCCTTGTGTCCAACGCAAGTGTTGTACAAGGATACTTCAAGAAAAATGAAGAGTTCGAGCAACATAGCTTTTATGGTTGCAATGAGTAGAAGTGTGTGTTTGTTTGAGAGAGGTCATATATAACTGGAATAGTGGTGGGTGTTATAGTGTGAACCATGTGGTATGCGGAGAGTGGTCAAGGCCATACCTCAGCCTGGGATATATCACATTCCGAGTAACCATCCAATTGTTTCTTTTACAGATGAGATTATTCTGTGATATGAATTCTGATAGAATAAAAGAAATTGAATTCTTGAGAACCTAGAAATCAAAATGTTTGACTTCTTGAAAGAGCATGGATTGATTGCCGCACTTTAGTTCCTAAATTGTTTTGTTTGTTCAATTTTTTTTTATCAGAGCTTTGTTGGTTCAATTTCTATCATGTATTATTTGTTTCTGCATATTCTGGTTTTGCATGAACATGTTCCGGCATTCTCGGTTTGCTTTTAGGCACTCCTTTTATATATAATATTGTACAATTTCGTTTTCGTGTTTTTGCAGCACTTGGACAGAAAAGGAGTAGCCTTTTGCACCCGGACAACCTATGATGAAAATGCAATTACAAATGCTATCGAGATATACGACAGCTTGAGGTAGCATAATAATTGCTGATTTGCTGTTTGCTTGGAAAATGTATTGAATAAAATATAGATTGAACTTTGTAGCTGTTTTGCAGGGGTGGAATTAATTTCATGGCCTCAAATAACGACGGTAGTTTGAGAGAATACGATACTGAGAGATTTCAACTTTTGAATCATTTCCGGTTTCCCTGGCCTGTAAATGTAAGTCCCTTTAGTTGCTATTATGATGCCTGATTCATGATTCAGTTCTTTCTTAACCCTTAATGTTCTATCTTATATCTTATGTTATTTGGATTCGGCTGCAAGTGTTGGATATGAGTATGTGAGTGGGTTGGGTATATCCAGTTTTGTAAAAGTCATTTCACGTATTTGGAGAGTCGTTGGAGGATCATATCTGCATACTCATTTCTGAAAATATATTCAATGCATGTTTATTCTGATTTTCACGGATTATGTTAATTTAACATGACTGATTTTGTTTATTCTAATGCAGCATACATCCATCAGCCCCGATCAGAGGGTTATTACTGTTGTCGGAGATCACTTGGATGGGTTGCTTGTTGATTCACAAAATGGAAAGGTAATAATCATTTTTAGTAGGAATTGGTTTCAAGCTGCTTTTTTTACGGATCTGTATACAAAATTATAACATTTACCTTTGTTTAATTTATCAAGAATTATTAGTTTTATTGAAACTGAATCACATTTTCTGTGGTCTCAGACAGTAGCCACGGTGGCAGGTCATCGAGATTACTCGTTTGCATCCGCGTGGCACCCTGATGGACGCATATTTGCCACGGGAAATCAGGACAAGGCCTGTCGAGTATGGGACATAAGAAACCTGTCTATGCCAGTTGCGACTCTCAAAGGGAACTTAGGTGCAGTGCGATCAATCCGCTTTTCAACGGACGGCCAATTCATGGTAGTTGCTGAACCTGCGGATTTCGTCCATGTTTATAATACGAGGTCTGGATTCCAGGAACGACAAGAGATCGACTTCTTTGGTGAGATTTCAGGGGTATCTATGAGCCCAGATGATGAGTCGCTGTATATAGGAATATGGGACAGAACTTACGCTAGTCTGCTGCAGTATAACAAAAGACACAGTTATGGATACTTGGATTCTTACCTGTGAGTATGTGCTGTTCTGATGTATGATGAAGAATGTTGAAACCAGTATGCTGATTGCGGCTGTAGTTCTGTAATAATTGTAGTCATGTCGTTTTTGTTATTGTAATAGTGTTCTAAGACATGTTAGATTTATTTGATCATTCCAATCTGTATAGAATGTGTGAGTGATTATGGTGTGTTGCGAGTTTGAAAAAAATTGCACTTAAATGTTAATAAAATAATATTCAATTATTGTACGGAATTTGAATAAAACACAACATTATACTTACAATTGTTTTGCTGGTTTTATATCTTAAAAACCTACATAATTGATGCTTTTATTTTTGGGGATAAAGAGTATAATTAGAGGTTTTGGGTTACATCTACAAGGATATAATTGATGCTTTTATTTTTGGGATAAGGAGTATAATTAGAGGTTTTGGGTTCAAGCACGACATGTACAAGGATATTTGAGTGTATTATTGTCAAATGGTTCAAATTCTATCCAACAAAACTTTTCATCTCCATTGCTCTATCATGATTGATTGAATGCTAACGAGAAAGATATAAAACCAAAACCAATACAAAAAGATAGGAAAAAGATAAAATCCTCAACCTAGTTTTTTTCCTTGCATTCTGCAAAATTCACAACATTCAAGGAAGACCAACATAATAGTCTTTCTCCCCCCTAAAAACTTGATCCTTCTCCGAAACTAAAACCCTTACAAATCACTGCTACTACTGCAATATCATTATGAATTTGCAGTCGATGTATGCATGTATGATCAGCTATCCAACTATTCATTTTTCTTGACATAACGTGTGAATGCATATCGAAACGACTACAGACTTAAAAAACCTAAAGAAATGAGCACACCCATGTCACACATATAATCATATTCAATACTCGTATATGAATCCGAGTACATAACTTAAGAAGAAGCTGGAGTTCTTTCTACGGAAGCCTTTGTTGGACGTTGTTCTTTGAATCCCAACATCTTATTTATCGCACTGATATAAGCTTTGACACTGGAAACAACTATATCCATTCCTGCCCCAGTGCCACTGTCACCAAAGCAGAAGAGATTTCAATGCAGGTGAAATAGCTTAAAAAGGCAATAGAAACGAATGCAAGATGATTCTGTACCTAAATGTTCGATGAACAAGTTCACCGGTCGATGCATGCGTAGATACGTGACTTTTTTCAGTGCGGATTAGAACGCGAGTCGAGGCTATAGCATCAATGCCTTCTGTGACGGCATTCATTGAATACTCAGGAAGGGAAACTGGTTCCTGTAATTGAAGAGAAAATAATGAAGAATTGATCCACAATCTCAGCAAAAAATATGTTAGTAAATAGCCTTAATTATAATAAAATCTGTAATCTTTAGACAAATTCTGAGTACTCTCAGTAAAAAAGAAAAGAAAAAAAGAGAGCACTGTGTCGAAACGATTTTTTCTTAAAGAGTGAAAAATGAAATTTTGAAAACCACATTAATTTATCTCGTTCAATCGATTTTTTTAAAAAGACAAATGCGATTTTTAAAAAACCCTCGTTTCGAAAATTCTGGATTTTCTTTACGATCGAAAAATACGGTTCAAAGAGTCGCCACCAATCTTTGATTAGGGTGTGATTGGGCACCCAAAAATATTTGTTATTTTAAATAAAAATTAATTTTAATTAAAACAACAAATTGAGGTATGCGTTACCAAAAAATGAGTTCGGGAGTCGATTACGTGTGGGGAAGGATCAGCACCCCCACAACGCCCTAAATCGGTACCTAATTGATTAATTAACGTCTTTGCAATGAACTTTACAAATTTGAATTTAATTTGATTTTTGATCCCATAAAACAAAAATATAAATTTAAAACATTCAAAAGCACTCAAATAAATTAAATTAAAATTACCGAGTCGTTTTAGAAAGATAAAGAATGTTCGATTATTTACAAATATTGAGACCAGATCTTAAAAGTTATAACAACATTTTCTCGATAAATTTAAATAAACGAACATTTCCTTTTCTTTTGTTCCCAAATTTTAGGTGACAAATTAATTTTTTTGTTTCACTTTCGGGATATACTTTTAATTTAAAATCATTAAAAGCGGACCTCAAATCAGTTATGACTGCCCACTTAATCCAATTATGTAATATTGTCGAGTTATGCTCATGAGAGTATCATACAATATGCAAAGACGATGTCATGCAAAGATCAATTAAATAAAAGGATATATTACATCTAAATCCATGTTTATGAACCATGTAATTACATATGCACACATATCACCATCATTCAAACCTAGGATAAGCATACACCCTAAACGAATCCTAACTAATCATACATACATACACATAAGAAACTTAAACATGAACTAAAATGAAACATGTAAAAACTTTAAAGTCTAATATCTAAACTACGGAAATCAAACACATCAACATTTAGGACGAAAATTAAATGAATATAAAATAAATAGACAGAATTAGAAACATGTAAACTTCGACCTAGGGACTGAAACGAAACATGGAAAAGTTAAAAGTGAAATGTCTAAACAATAAATATTAAAATACATTCATATTAAGGACTAATATTAAATTCGGATAGAACACAGAGACAAAATTAGAAACACGAACACAATGATTTAAGGATTAAAATGCATGAAACTGAAAGTTCAAATGACCCAAGTGTTGAATAACCCACACGAATCGGCCATTCCCAAAGTACTGTCGTTTTGAAGATATAATATATGTGTAATATTCTGAGCAACTTAAACCCTAGTCTCATTTATGTTAAACCGGTCCTCAGCGTCGTTCTTCACTCTCAGACTCCTTTATCCCTTTCTCTCAACCTTATTCATCTCTAACTCTAGACAACACAAAGCTGTCGTGGCCTCCATCCTCTAACGACCCTAAACTCCTTAGTTTTGAGTCTCTTACAACAAAAAATAGGACTTAAGGGTTACACTACCCCCCAACTACCACGGCCGAACCACACAACCACCGTGGTTCGCCCTCAAAAGCTCCGATGAGGAAAGAAAACAACGCACAAGGTACAACACTAGACCCTGAATCGAACCTAAACTCAACTTTCTTCTATCTTCACTATTTTTCTCTTTTTTTTTGTCTGAGAAACAGGACCAGCGTCCACAAACCACCGCTAGAAATGCTGACCTTTACTCAAAGCCTACCTCGTATCCTCTCAAGGGCAAGGTAAACTACTTGGTTTTCTTTCTCTATTGATTTACTTACTCGTATTCATACCATAAACACGTATAAAGCATTGAAAAATGAAACGGAAGAAAAAAAATATACCTTAATGAGTGCTATGGTTTTCTTTCGAACCAAAGGAAAAAGGAAATCTGGAAAATTTCTTTGTATTGATCTTAAAAGATTCTCTTACAATTGTTGCTTTCAGTTTTCTCTCTAATCCGAATACGAGAAATCTCCCCCTGTTTTTTTTTTGTTCTGTCTCTATCACTTCCTCTCCTCTGTGTAATTTTTTTGATGCCCCCCTCTCTTTTGTGTCTGTCTTTCCTCTCTGTATCTGATGGTTAATGCCTAAGAACCGACCCTCACCTCCACTTTGCTTTGGTTAACTCCCAATAACCGTTTTTTTTAGTTTTTTAGGATTTCACGTGGACTGGGCTTGGTCATTAGATTGGGCCTCCAACTACTCTGCTTCGGGTCTGCTCCGACTTATCCCCTGATAAATCAAGCATCTACAGCTGCCCCTATTTGCTCATTGTCGTGTAACGAGAATATGGCAAAGAACAAAAGATGATCGAATTTGTCTGGTCATGAGAACTTCAAAAAATTAAACCACTCACTGTTACGTCGGGATAAATAAGACTTGAAAAATCTTCAAATGACGAGCCTGCTCCCTATACCTTTAGGAAGTATAAGACTCAAACAATCTTCATAAAATGTTTATGCTCTCTATTCATTCAGAGAGTATAAGACTTGAACAATCTTCAATAAAACAGGTCCGCTCTCTATTCCTTCAGAGAGTATAGAACTCGAAAAATCTTCAATAAACAGGTCCGCTCCCTATTCTTTCAGAGAGTATAGGACTCAATCTTTAACAAACGTGTCCGCTCCCTATTCCGTCAGAGAGTATAGGACTCGATCTTCATAAAATGTGTCCGCTCCCTATTCCTTCAGAGAGTATAGGACTCGATCTTCATAAAATGAGTTTGCTTCACTAATCTTCCGTGAAGGCTTACAGATGGTTTGCTTCACTACTCTTCCTTGAAGGCTTAAGATTGACCTGTTTCGAAGGTCCAACCTGAAAATCAAACATTACCAATCATTAATGTATGTTTGAAAATATTATATTCAAAAATTTAGAATTTGATAAAATTTCTGAAAATCCATCTCCATCGCGAAAACTTGTCTGGAAACCATTGGATACGTGAATCTGCTTTGGCTCAGTTTTCGTATAAACATCATTCTTTTCAAAATCTCCAAACCAGTTATGTTCATCTCGATGCTTCAATATCTTCAATCTTCAACTATTCCTGTGAAACCTGTAAATATTTAAGTCATCATGCAATTATGAATGCCATGATCCTATTTATGCCTAAAATGTATGCAATTATGCAATTTAATGCGTTTTCTTCTTCGAATGAACTCCATTTCCTTTTGATCTCGATGGAACTCAGTTTCATCTTGGGCACAGAACATTTGACCAGTTCACCCCAGCTAACAATCTCAATTCCATATCTCTCGGCTTAACAGGACCTTGACTCATTTCTTTTTTGAAACCCACCAGTACCCATGACCAACTTCTTGATCAATGACAATCTCTTTGGGTTTTCTTATCATGGCTGAGATTTCTTATGAATTCCAAGATTTTAGTTTCCCGTAGCCACACAAGCTTACACGTTTAAACCATTGTCAGCTTCAGAATACCTGCATTTTCCAAAACCTTTTGCACAATAATACAAAATGATCTCATGTACTTCAAGTTAAGCTATATGTTTTAACTTTTCAAAATAAGATGCTTGCAAAAAGGAAATTAACAAGAAAAGACATCTCTCTATTTATATAAATACAGAGAATTTTAGGCAACTAAATGGCAAACTTTTAACTGGAAACAGTAAAAGAACAAAAGAGTAGGCGTCTTCAAATATCAATAATGCAAATGCTTTTGAACTGGCACGCCGTTAGAATGTCTCGAGTGTAGTTTCTGTCAAAAAGATCTCCAAAATTGTGATGCTTAAGAGTATGAAGCTACTTCTAAACTCCCAAATCTCTATCACTGGATGCCCTAAACCAATATTGAATCTCATGTGCATTCAATTTCTCTTGGTTATTTCAATCGAGACTCATTAATCTTTAGTCTCATCCCTGATCACCAACTATCATTGTTACTATCCATATCAGGAGCTCTTTCCACTTCCAAAATTGATTCAGAACCTCCACCATACACGAATTCTGAATTTAAACAAAACTCAATTCGCCTTTCGCGAGTTTTCAACTTGAGACCTCCTTTGGTTTCAAGACGCCTTTTTCGGGTTTTCATCTTGAACCCTCCTTTTATTTCTTTTTCTTTTTCTTTTTTCTTCTTTTTTCATTTTTCATTTTTTTTATTTTTCATTTTTTTCATTTTTTTCATTTTTCATTTTTCATTTTTCATTTTTCATTTTTCATTTTTCATTTTTCATTTTTTTTTCTTTTCTTCATTTTTTTCTTTATTCTTTTCTTTTCTTTTTTTTCTTTTTTCTTTTCTCTTTTTTTTCATTATTTTTCATTTTTCTTCAAGCGAAATATCTCTTAACAGCGTTAGAATTCACTGGATAGGGTAATTTTGATCCATCTATTTCAGTTAAGACTAGAGCTCCCCCAGAAAATGCTTTCTTGACAACATAATGTCTTCTCAATTGGGCATCCATTTTCCTCTGAAATCCTTCTGAACAGGCAAAATCCTTTTAAGCACCAAATCTCCCTCATGGAATTCTCGAAGGCGAACTTTCTTACCATATACCCGTATCATACGTTTTTGGTACATCTGACCATGACAAATAGCTTTCAATCTCTTTTCTTCAATTAAATTCAATTGGTCGTATTTAGCCTGTACCCATTATGCCTCATTGAGCTTTACCTCTGACAAAATCTGAAGTGAGGGAATTTCCACCTCAATAGGTAAGACAACTTCCATCCCATAAACCAAAGAAAACGGAGTTGCCCCAGTTGAAGTCCGTACTGAAGTTCGATAAGCAAACAGAGCAAAGGGCAACTTCTCATGCCAATCCTTATAGGTCTCAGTCATTTTCTCTATGAGCCTTTTAATGTT